AAAATTATAGCTATCCTACAATATGAAGTTTAGAATTCTATTCTGTAAAGCTCTATAAACTGCAAGACCTACAACAGCTACACAAAAATTCTGCTTATGAAGTTATGAAATTGTGTTTTTCTGTGATGCCACAGAATTTAAACTACACTATTCTGGAGTTAGAGAGAAAATATCATTTTGATAGTGATTAAATTCATAGTTTTATAGTACGAAATTATATAACGCCACAGTACTTTAGGCAATAACATAATTTAAAACTTGCAGTAAAAAAAAAAAAAAGTGCGTTGCATGCATACACAGATTTCTAATTCCTATTTTCTCATTTGAAAGTTGTTCCTAAACCCTTTCCTCCTCCCTCCCAAAAGCTAGCCTTGACTCAGATTTCTTCACTGAAAGCTAACCACGTATGAAGGTAAGCTTTAAAGTTCTGCTGTTTGAGGTATGTAGAAAGCCTATTTTTAAAATGGGGAAAGTATTTTTCCCCAAATCACCCATCTCAAAAACAACTGAATATGTTGTGTGTAAACTTCCCAAAAACATTTACTTTTGAGCTGAGACCTGGCTTGAGTTAAGTTTCAGCTCCACTGAAATCAATAGCAAAACTCCCACACTCTTAAATGGGGCCAGGATTTCATTCCTAGAGTGGAAAGTTTCAGTTCCAAGGCAAAAAGAAAATCTATGACAGTTATGAATGGCCACAAATGGATACAATCAAAGTTGAACTGCAACCTTAATTACAAGTTTACATTACTACAAGGCTATATGGTCTGATTTTCAAAGGTACTGAGCACTAGGAGCTTACATTAACTTCAATGGGATTTGTGGATGCTCAGCACTTCTGAAAATCTGACCATAATATTTAAACTAAATCACGGCCTAAAGTAGGAAGGCCTTGCTATACTCTAGAGTCCACAGTTTGATGCCTTATCATTGCTGATGTTTACAAGTAATTTATACTATACAATTTCCTTGTTAAAGTCTTAGAAGATTCACAAATGAGATATTTTTAATATACTGCAGTAGAACCTCAGAGTTATGAACACCAGTTACGAACTGACCGATCAACCACACACCTCGTTTGGAAATGGAGGGGCACAATCGGGCATCAGCAGAGACACACACAAAAAAAGCAAATACAGTACAGTACTGTGTTAAAAGTAAACTACTAAAAAAAAATAAAGGGAAAGCAAAATTTTTCCTCTGAATAGTAAAGTTTCAAAGCTGTATTAAGTCAATGTTCAGCTGTAAACATTTGAAAGAACAATCATAACATTTTGTTCAGTTACAAACATTTCAGAGTTATGAACAACCTCCATTCCCAAAGTGTTCATAACTCTGAGATTCTACTGTAGTATGACTGGTTTCAGAGTAGCAGCCGTGTTAGTCTGTATTCGCAAAAACAAAAGGAGTACTTGTGCACCTTAGAGACTAACAAATTTATTTGAGCATAAGCTTTCGTGAGCTACAGCATCCGATAAAGTGAGCTGTAGCTCACGAAATATGCTTAAATAAATTTGTTAGTCTCTAAGGTGCACAAGTACTCCTTTTCTTTTTGTAGTATGAACTATATGGCAGGGATGGGCAAACTTTTTGGCCCTAGGGCCACATCTGGGTATAGAAATTGTATGGTGGGCCACGAATGCTCACGAAACTGGGGTTGGGGTGCAGGAGGGGATGAGGGCTCTGGCTGGGGGTGCAGGCGATGAGGGGTATGGGGTGTAGGAGGGTGCTCGAGGCTGGAACCTACGGGTTCAGAGGGTGGGAGGGGGATCAGGGCTGGGGCAAGGGGTTGTGGTGTGGGAGGGTAGCTCAGGGGTGCGGGCTACGGGCAGCGCTTACCTCAAGCCACAGTTCCTGGCCAATGGGAGCTGCGGGGGGCAGCGCTTGGGGTAGGGGCAGCTTGCAGAGCAGAGCCCCCTGGCTGCCCCTATGCATCGGAGCCGGAGGAGGGAGATGCTGCTGCTTCCAGGAGCCATGTGGAGCAGCCCTCGACCCTGCTCCCTGGCTCGAGTGCTGGAGCAGGGCAAGCCCCAGACCTTGCTCCCCAGAGATAGCTCAAGGGCTGGATTAAATAACTGGTGGGCCGGATGCAGCCCGCAGTTTGTCCACCCCTGTGATATGGTATGAAGTCTATAGCTAATGTGTTACTGCAACACTCTTTTTTAAAGTGTGGTGCTACCAAATACAACATATCTAAAACTGCATTAACATTTCAAGCTTTCACTTTAAATATTTTAAAATTAAAATAGAATTGACAAAGTTTTTATATCAAAAAATAAAAATACTTTCTATTTATGACGAATTAGCAAGCGAACACTGATGTACCTTATCTTGCAACTTTTACTTTGTTACACTGTTAAAAATGCTGAAAAAAGATCAAGGTTTAGCAGGATGTAATGCAACTGCTGTTTACAGAGTTCGAAAAAATAAACACTATAAATAGAAGCATTGTATGCTACATTACTCTTCCCATCCCCAAACTTGTACTGCTTCTTCGACTTCTGAGACATAAATTATTTCTTGCAGACTCTGGCTGGATATATAACCAGACACTATCCCTGTGTCTACTTCCAATAAAAAAAAAACTTGTTTATCCTATCTAACCTCACACTGTGCAGTTTTACAGTTCCATATTTGTTTATACAGAACAGTACCAGGAGAAAGTCAAGTCCCTAAAGTACTGTATTCTTGTTGAAGTCACAGAGATTTGGTTAGAACTAAAAGCACTATCATGAAGCAAAACAGCTCTTTGACATCAGTCTGGCATCAAATGAAGGTTCAGAATTAGACATGTATATTCCAAATACTTCAAAACTGTCTAATACCTACTTCGGACAAAACCCTAGGTTCTTTACTCAGTGTTTACTCAGTCCTTACTGAAGTCAATGGGAAATTGTCTGAATGAAAACTGACTGAGGACGTTAGGATTTGTTCTAGTCTGTTTATCTAACGTTGTGCCAGGCAGAGGAGCATTACATACAGAGCTCAGTTTTCACTAATTTTTAAGTAAACTGGTTACTGATAATTGGAGGTGGGAAACCCAGCAGCGGTTTCAAACCATCCCAGGAGCTGTTTGAAACTCTGCCAGATTCAAGCCAGTCCCCCAGGTGAGTGCAGATAAACTTGCTGCTGAAGGGGAAGGGAGCTCGTTAAGCGCATACATGCAATTTATAATAATTTTTTTGCCTTTCGTTACCCAAAACCTCATCTTCCTACCTACATCCCCTTCTACCATCATTCCCCATTTTAAAATGGTGCCCATCTCATCCATGGATTTACAGAACAAAGGCATTGACTTTTGATTCTTACTTTAGTAGTATAACGTCAGAAAATAAAACAGAATAAGTTCAAAGAAATTAGTATGGCAGTCTTATTACACAGTCCACATCAGATTAGCATCAGAAAGTAGACTCAGCGTCCACTTTTCAATTCTTTGGTTTACTGGGCTAGGCAGGGGGTCATGCAGCGTACTTTGTTTATCTGAATAAGGGCATCCCTTTTATCCTCTTGAGAGATCTTGAAGCCTTCATGGAGATATACCTAGAAATCTTTGAAAGGATTGCAGAGTGTCAGCCTTGTTTCTTCCCCTGTGACAGGAGACTTTGATTAGCTCTATTGCAGTAAACAGGCCAGCAGCAAATGGGCCCAGGAAGCTTTGGAACACCAGCAGCAGCTGGGTTCTCTGCACCTGTGACAATCAGGGTCCAAGCACCCCAAGGGGAGAGTTTGAACCCCAAAGAATAAGCAGCTGAATCAATAGATTATATATGACTTTATTATATTATAAAAGGCGAATAAGACTTTTTTTTATGAAAGCTTGTAATGTACTAAGCTTAATGGTCATTAGGAGATATGTATGAAGAGTGTGGTTATGAATGTATGTATTAGCGTACACAGAAAACCGTGCTCACAATTTGTGGTGCAGTCAGGCAAAGAGGGGCTGCCTCCCCAACCAGACAATACTAGCTAAAAGCACCTAGAAAAATTGTACAACCGAGGAAAAGACATCCTGGCTAAAGTTTACCTACCCTGAATATCCATACCGGGGGGTGTGGTGAGGAAGACCTTTTAAAATAAGGAGGCTTGAAATTGAGGTCTTCCAGATAGAGAGCTGCGGGGATATAAAAATTTGGATCCGCGTCCACGATAAATAACTAGTATTTGACCCAAGATCTGCACCCCACTTTCATATGTATCCGCATCTGCTCATGCACCAGCTCACTGTACCTTTCAGGAGGAGCATCAATGTGCATGCATCAATACTGTATAAGAAAGCTATATGGCTTCATAAATGCACACACTTGCTATGTTATTATTTTAAACATCTTATTGTACAACAGGCATCAGAACAAATATATTATTTTTGTATGTAAAATGCAAATAAACATCTCAAGTCAATAATACTCAAAATCACAAACTGAACTATAAAATAAAAAAGTTGGGCGGCTGTTTAGCTTGTGACTTATACCAGCCCTGAATTGCGGGACTTCGTCTTAGATGTCTCTCTCGGAACAGTTGATTTTCTTTGAAATATTACTGTGTAAAAACATTAAATCATCCACAGTTCCTGGCTAAAGTGAAGTATGATTCTCATTAACTGTGTAACCAGAGACTGAGATGGCTCTCTTGGACACTGGATGCAGGGATGGAATGCACAAACTGTGCAACCCAACTAAAAAAAGAGGAAAATTGTGCTTCTGTTGTCTCCTCCACTCCAGCAGCTGCACATTTTCATTCTTTGTCAGCATCAGGGTGACATACTTTGACACTTCATCATCATTTCCATGCTCGTTATTCGAATCCTCAAACTCTGTATGTGACAATTTTGTCTCCTTTGGTGATGGAGTCTGTGTAGCTGACAAAAGCAGCGTAAGATTCATTGCAGCAATATTTTTCCTCATGCAATGAGACAAGCTACTTAGCCCTGGTCTACACTAGGACTTTAGGCCGAATTTAGCAGCATTAAATCGATGTAAACCTGCACCCGTCCACACAAGGAAGCCCTTTATTTCGACTTAAAGGGCTCTTAAAATCGATTTCCTTACTCCACCCCTGACAAGTGGACTAGCGCTTAAATCGACGTTGCCGGCTCGAATTTGGGGTACTGTGGACACAATTCGATGGTATTGGCCTCCGGGAGCTATCCCAGAGTGCTCCATTGTGACCGCTCTGGACAGCATTCTCAACTCAGATGCACTGGCCAGGTAGACAGGAAAAGAACCGCGAACTTTTAAATCTCATTTCCTGTTTGGCCAGCGTGGCAAGCTGCAGGTGACCATGCAGAGCTCATCAGCACAGGTGACCATGATGGAGTCCCAGAATCGCAAAAGAGCTCCAGCATGGACCGAACGGGAGGTACGGGATCTGAACGCTGTTTGGGGAGAGGAATCCGTGCTATCAGAACTCTGTTCCAGTTTTCGAAATGCCAAAACCTTTGTGAAAATCTCCCAGGGCATGAAGGACAGAGGCCATAACAGGGACCCGAAGCAGTGCCGCGTGAAACTGAAGGAGCTGAGGCAAGCCTACCAGAAAACCAGAGAGGCGAACGGCCGCTCCGGGTCAGAGCCCCAAACTTGCCGCTTCTATGATGAGCTGCATGCCATTTTAGGGGGTTCAGCCACCACTACCCCAGCCGTGTTGTTTGACTCCTACAATGGAGATGGAGGCAATACGGAAGCAGGTTTTGGGGACAAAGAAGATGATGATGATGATGAGGTTGTAGATAGCTCACAGCAAGCAAGCGGAGAAACCGGTTTTCCCGACAGCCAGGAACTGTTTCTCACCCTGGACCTGGAGCCAGTACCCCCCGAACCCATCCAAGGCTGCCTCCTGGACCCAGCAGGAGGAGAAGGGACCTCTGGTGAGTGTACCTTTTAAAATACTATACATGGTTTAAAAGCAAGCATGTGAAAGGATTACTTTGCCCTGGCATTCGCGGTTCTCCTAGATGTAGTCCTAAAGCCTTTGCAAAAGGTTTCTGGGGAGGGCAGCCTTATTGTGTCCTTAATGGTAGGACACTTTACCACTCCAGGCCAGTAACACGTACTCGGGAATCATTGTAGAACAAAGCATTGCAGTGTATGTTTGCTGCATTCAAACAACATCCGTTCTTTATCTCTCTGTGTTATCCTTAGGAGAGTGAGATATAATTCATGGTCACCTGGTTGAAATAGAGTGCTTTTCTTCAGGGGACACTCAGAGGAGCCCATTCCTGCTGGGCTGTTTGCCTGTGGCTAAACAGAAATGTTCCCCGCTGTTAGCCACAGGGAGGGGGGAGGGCCGAGGGGGTAGCCACGCGGTGGGGGGAGGCAAAATGCGACCTTGTAACGAAAGCACATGTGCTATGTATGTAATGTTAACAGCAAGGATTACCCTGAAAGAGTGTAGCCACTGTTTTATAAAATGTGTCTTTTTAAATACCGCTGTCCCTTTTTTTTTCTCCACCAGCTGCATGTGTTTCAATGATCACAGGATCTTCTCCTTCCCAGAGGCTAGTGAAGCTTAGAAAGAAAAAAAAATGCACTCACGATGAAATGTTCTCCGAGCTCATGCTGTCCTCCCACACTGACAGAGCATAGACAAATGCGTGGAGGCAAATAATGTCAGAGTGCAGGAAAGCACAAAATGACCGGGAGGAGAGGTGGCGGGCTGAAGAGAGGGCTGAAGCTCAAATGTGGCGGCAGCGTGATGAGAGGAGGCAGGATTCAATGCTGAGGCTGCTGGAGGACCAAACCAGTATGCTCCAGTGTATGGTTGAGCTGCAGCAAAGGTAGCTGGAGCACAGACTGCCACTGCAGCCCCTCTGTAACCAACCGCCCTCCTCCCCAAGTTCCATAGCCTCCACACCCAGACGCCCAAGAACGCGGTGGGGGGGCCTCCGGCCAACCAGCCACCCCACCACAGAGGATTGCCCCAAAAAAAGAAGGCTGTCATTCAATAAATTTTAAAGTTGTAAACTTTTAAAGTGCTGTGTGGCATTTTCCTTCCCTCCTCCACCACCCCTCCTGGGCTACCTTGGTAGTCATTCCCCTATTTGTGTGATGAATGAATAAAGAATGCATGAATGTGAAGCAACAATGACTTTATTGCCTCTGCAAGCGGTGATTGACGGGAGGAGGGGCGGGTGGTTAGCTTACAGGGAAGTAGAGTGAACCAAGGGGCAGGGGGTTTCATCAAGGAGAAACAAACAGAACTTTCACACCGTAGCTTGGCCAGCCATGAAACTGGTTTTCAAAGCTTCTCTGATGCGTACCGCGCCCTCCTGTGCTCTTCTAACCGCCCTGGTGTCTGGCTGCGCGTAACCAGCAGCCAAGCGATTTGCCTCAACCTCCCACCCCGCCATAAACGTCTCCCCCTTACTCTCACAGATATTGTGGAGCACACAGCAAGCAGTAATAACAGTGGGAATATTGGTTTCGCTGAGGTCTAAGCGAGTCAGTAAACTGCGCCAGCGCGCCTTTAAACGTCCAAATGCACATTCTACCACCATTCTGCACTTGCTCAGCCTGTAGTTGAACAGCTCCTGACTACTGTCCAGGCTGCCTGTGTATGGCTTCATGAGCCATGGCATTAAGGGGTAGGCTGGGTCCCCAAGGATACATATAGGCATTTCAACATCCCCAACAGTTATTTTCTGGTCTGGGAATAAAGTCCCTTCCTGCAGCTTTTGAAACAGACCAGAGTTCCTGAAGATGCGAGCATCATTCACCTTTCCCGGCCATCCCACGTTGATGTTGGTGAAACGTCCTTTGTGATCCACCAGAGCTTGCAGCACTATCGAAAAGTACCCCTTGCGGTTTATGTACTCGGCGGCTTGGTGCTCCGGTGCCAAGATAGGGATATGGGTTCCGTCTATGGCCCCACTACAGTTAGGGAATCCCATTGCAGCAAAGCCATCCACTATGATCTGCACATTTCCCAGGGTCACTACCCTTGATATCAGCAGATCTTTGATTGCGTGGGCTACTTGCATCACAGCAGCCCCCACAGTAGATTTGCCCACTCCAAATTGATTCCCAACTGACCGGTAGCTGTCTGGCGTTGCAAGCTTCCACAGGGCTATCGCCACTCGCTTCTCAACTGTGAGAGCTGCTCTCATCTTGGTATTCATGCGCTTCAGGGCAGGGGAAAGCAAGTCACAAAGTTCCATGAAAGTGCCCTTACGCATGCGAAAGTTTCACAGCCACTGGGAATCGTCCCAGACCTGTAACACTATGCGGTCCCACCAGTCTGTGCTTGTTTCCCGAGCCCAGAATCGGCGTTCCACAGCATGAACCTGCCCCATTAGCACCATGATGCATGCATTGGCAGGGCCCATGCTTTCAGAGAAATCTGTGTCCATGTCCTGATCACTCACGTGACCGCGCTGACGTCACCTACTCGCCCGGTATCGCTTTGCCAGGCTCCGGTGCTGCATATACTCCTGGATAATGCGTGTGGTGTTTAATGTGCTCCTAATTGCCAAAGTGAGCTGAGCGGCCTCCATGCTTGCCTTGGTATGGCGTCCGCACAGAAAAAAGGCACGGAACGATTGTCTGCCGTTGCTCTGACGGAGGGAGGGGCGACTGACAACACGGCTTACAGGGTTGGCTTCAAGGAGCTAAAATCAACAAAGGGGGTGTCTTTACATCAAGGAGTATTTCAGGCAGGACTTCACGGAGGGTTCCAATAGGAAATGGTGCACCTAAGTTATTGTTCTTATTGGAACAAGGAGGTTAGCCTGGCCTCTGATTGATACATGGCTAGATTTACCTCACTGCACCTTCTCTGTGAGTGATTGCAGCGTGACCTAGAGGAATGAGTCCCCTAGACAGGGGAGGGGGGGAAGCAAATGAGTACAAAACAAATCTGGTCTATTTCTTGTTTTGATCCACTCCATCTATCTTTTACATCTTTGGCTGGCAGCAGACGGTGCAGAAGGACTGCATGCCATCCACATCTCATGGCTGCTTGGCAGAAGATGGTACAGTACGACTGCTAGCAATCCTCATCTCTTGCCTGCCCGGCAGAAGATGGTACAGTACGACTGCTAGCAGTCCGTATCGCCTGCCCGCTCACCATAAGACGGTTCAATAGGACTGACTGCAGGACTAAAGAGAATGACCTGGTCAAGTCACTCCAAATTTAGTCCCTGCGCCCATGTCTGCCCAGGCGCTCCCAGCCGACGTGGCCAGGAGCACCTCGGACATGACGATAACGGCTACCAGTCGTACTGTACCGTCTGCTGCCACAAGGCAAGGGGTTGCTGCTACTGTGTAGCAATGCCGTACCGCGTCTGCCAGCACCCAGGAGACATAGGGTGACGGTTACCTGAGCGGGCTCCATGCTTGCCATGGTATGGCGTCTGCACAGGTAACTCAGGAAAAAAGGCGCAAAACGATTGTCTGCCCTTGCTTTCACGGAGGGAGGGAGGGAACGGGGGCCTGACGATATGTACCCAGAACCACCCGCGACAATGTTTTAGCCCCATCAGGCATTGGGATCTCAACCCAGAATTCCAATGGGCAGCGGAGACTGCGGGAACTGTGGGATAGCTACCCACAGTGCAACGCTCCGGAAGTCGACTCTAACCTCGGTACTGTGGAAGCGCTCCGCCGAGTTAATGCACTTAACGCACTTAGAGCGTTTTCTGTGAGGACACACACACTCGAATATATAAAACCGATTTCTAAAAAAACGACTTCTATAAATTCGACCTTATTCCGTAGTGTAGACATACCCTTAGTTTCTTGATAATCTTCCTGTGTCTCTTCAGTGAAAACAATTCATCCCCTACGTTCGCGGGTGCAGGAAAACTGCTACTCTGTGCATAGGCCTGATTTCAAACTTTTCAATGAGACACTGCAAAGCTTTGACTTAGACGATCTTCATTAAGGTAGAAGGATGGAGATGCTTTTTCAGCCTTTTGTACCAAATGGGCACTAAGTGGAGACTGGGCTGCAATGACTGCTCTAGTGCATCTGATGCTTCTTCTTAAGGAACTCTATTAAGATGCTCAAGGTATTGTGATCAATGCTATCAATGAGCTGAGTATCCCCATTTTCTGTCAAAATTGCATATATATTCTGTCCCACTGCTCCTTGATGTCTTAAACATGAGTAGTTTGCTGCTCCATCGCGTTGCTACATTTCCTTTCAGAGATCTTTACAACCCGCTTTGAAGTAATGAGATTTCAGCTTTGTTTGTTAGCACTTTAATTTTGTTGTCTGTTTCTTTATTGTGTGCAAAATTCTATTTTGGAAAATGAGTATCTCTATTGGTTTACACCAAGCAGTACAGAACTCATATGGGTGGATTATTGCCTCCTGCTGTTTAATCTCCATACTCACAGGAAACATTACTTCATAAAAGCATCAGCCATACTACTGCAGCAGACTGTTAAAACTGTCTTTTAAGGCCTCCCTTAACTGTATTGTTCCATGGTTGGCTCAAATTCAGCCGCTAGTCTGTCCACTTCACCCCTCCAGCCTCATGGTAGCTCTCCCCCTCTTCACCTGACAGATATCATGCAGTACACAACATGCAAATATCCCTTTGGTATAGCTGATCACTGAGATCCAAGCTAGTGAATAAACAGCACTAGTGTCCCTTCTAACCTACCAGAAGCATATTCTCAGCAGCCACTCTGCATCTGCTGGGCCAGAAGATGGATCTTTCTTTGGTGCTATCCAGGTGGCCAGTGTAAGGCTTCCTGAGCCAGTGAAACAAGGGGTAGGCTGGGTTCCCCAGAATCACTATTGGCATTTCAACATCCTCAAGGGTAATCCGTTGGTCTGGGAAGAACATCCCTCCTTACAGCTCTTTGAGAAGTCATGTGTTCTTAAAGATGAGAGCATCATGTACTTTCACCAACCATCCCACAAGTATTACTGAAATGCCCCCGGTGAACCACTAGAACGTCCATAACCACGGAAAAGTATCTCTTCCCGCTGATGTACTCAGTGGCAAGATGGGCTGGTGTCAGAATAGGATATGCATACTATCACCCCACAGCAGTTTGAGCAACCTCCATTGTTGCAAACTCAGCCACTATTTCCTGTATGTTACCCAGTCACAGTCCTGTGCAGAAGTAGACACTTAAATGATCGCAACTGGAAAATCCACAATGGGGTCATTCATTTATCCAGCTCTAACCTGATTGCCCACTGACCAACAGCAATCCAGCGCTGCACATTTCCAGAGTGTGACCGCCACTTGCTTCTCCACTATGAGTGCAGTTCTCCCTACAGTGCCCCTGAGCTGGGGGTCTGGGTCAAGCTTAGCGCACAGATCCAAAATATGGCTTTTCACATCCACAAGTTCTGCAGTCACTGCTTGCCATCCCAAACCTGCATTATGAGGCGATCCCAACAATCAGTCCTTGTTTCTTGGGCCCAGAAGCAGCAATCCACCAAATGGCACTGCTATATGAAAGTCAGCGGCAGCCTGACAATTTTTGTAGCATCAGTTGCCTCCGGCCACTGCACTTGAACATCTCTGCATCTTCCTCATTGCAATCCTGGTTGTAGCAATATTCATTCAAGTTCTTCAAATACAGGAGGATAATGCATCCTGTGTTTGCATCTCTCAGGATTTGTGATGAGCTGTGCAGGGTCCATGCTTCTGCTAGAAAGATGGTGGATATCAAAAAGAAGTGCACAGGACTGTGGGAGTTGTAAAAAGTGACAAGAAAATTATGGGCTGTGGAAAGCCTTATAAAATGGAGAAAGTGGCATGGTGGGAATTTGATCCCTATCTCCCTGACAACCTGGGCGAACCAATGGTATTCCACAAAGCATTGAGAAAATGTCCCACAAGACACTGATCTAGACAGCAGGAAGGGGTACACTGCAATACCTACTTGTATTGCTCTGCATTTTATATCAGTGCATGCAACTGGGGTGAGTATGCTCAGAACCAGCACAAGCACCCAAATGTGCTTGCACCTGAGTGATAAATAAAAATTGGTGGGGTGACCGGTTTCCCCCGGGGTGCCACATGGAACTGTGGTACCACTGAGTCCACCTGACCCACCAGCCTGGGCTCCCTTTACACTGTATTCCTGAGGCAAGCCAGCCAAGCCCTCCCTCAGGCGTCAGACTGCACTTAACCAGCACACATACAGGTAGGGGCACACGCAGCT